CAAGAAATGTACCAGGGCTTACGCGGGCGAATAAAGGAATTATTGTTTTGCAAACCTCGTCCCCAGGTTCGAGAAGACCCCGGGAACGAGGTTTTTAAGAACAGTGTCGTTGCTTCTCAGGCCCGTAGGGAGGGGAGATTACGAAGGGTGGGTTCGCACCCCACCCCCACAGGCTCTGGAGTGCCACTTTTTTGTTGACCAACGATTTATAGCCTGTGTACAGACCCCGCCTCCTCTCAATAAAAATCGATTTTTGCTGAGGGGAGGTGGGGGGGTCTGTGCACAGGCTAACGATTTACAACAAAGTGAATTAGCGATAGTGGGCCTTCAATGTAATTACAAAATCGTTTTCAGTTTTGGGACAGTTGAACAATTTTTAACACAGGTTGCGAGAAAACGGGCCGAAAACAGCAAGAAGAGAGGCCACCGCCAGATTTTGTCAATCAATAGATACCTCTCTTCAATAACTACCTAAAAAAGAAATTGAAATTGCCATCATTGAAGATTTTCTAGCTGCAGACGTTTATCAGAGCTGAGTTTCTTCGTTTAAAAACCTAAACTTAGACATTTTTGGGCATTAGGAGGCGGAGGCCTTAGCGGGAGTGGTCTATCAGTTTGCTCTCATTAATTAAGTCAGATTTCTCCAGTTTCAAGTAATCAGTGAAATATAACCTGCGATCAGGTGTCCTTCATCCCTTGAACAGTTTTTAACACAGATCGCGAGGAAACGGGCCGAAAAGAGCAAGAGGAGAGGCCACCGCCAGATTTTGTCAATCAATGGATACCTCTCTTCAATAACTACCACAAAAAGAAATTGAAATTGCCATCATTGAAAATTTTCTGGCTGCAGGCCTTTATCAGAACCGAGCGTTCTTAGTTTAAAAACCTTGAGGGAGGAAAACATGCGAAAACGTAGACATTTTTGGGCATTAGGAAGCGGAGGCCCTAGCGGGAGTAGCCTATCAGTTTGCTCTCATTAATTAAGTCAGATTTCTCCAGTTTCAAGTAATCAGTGAAATATAACCTGCGATCAGGTGTCCTTCATCCCTTTTTGTTTGGGAGACGTGGTAAAAAAAACGCCTGATCGCAGGTTAAGAGGTATACGATTTGCATGTACTATCTAACAGACATTAAGAGTCGTTAATCCTAGATCGTTACTCTGGAAGAAGTCGTTGATCTGTTTGCGAAGAAGCACCCAACTTGGCATGCTAGTGAAAGATCATGATGATCAGCAGCAAACCTAGTGAATAATCGGATTTAAAACTTTCCTTATATTATTTTCTTTTCAAATGCATGTAGTAACATTGCCATTGTCATTCTCATTTTTAAAATGCATACATAAAGCTGTTTCTTTGGCAAACAAATCAATTTTAGGGTTCAAACATTTTGCGAAATATCCACATTTCGCCTTTTGGCTGCCTGTTTTCTTTCCACACTGCCTTCAAATCTCTTGAAATGCAGTCTCAGGCAACGAAACTCCCCCCACCCCCCTCCCCCTAGAGACTTGTGCCTCCGGCCTCGTTTTGTCCCTCTCGTCGTTGGATCGTACCTTCCCGTCAAAAAAACCTGGTTACGGGCCTGCCACTTATTAGAACAAAATATTGAAATTACTGTGAACTGTCTTATCATTTAATTTGAATCTAAACAAAGATTTTGTTGTACATCATCATGGTAAACTGGCATTTACATTTACGCATTTCTAACCGGGTCAGCAAACATCTTGTAATTTCTCTCTAACTCCTCCTCTCTTGGCTTGTTTATTTTGTGTTGTTTGTTTATGATCCACCTTTCTTGATTGTTTAGGGATTTGTGTAGAAAAGACTGGAGACAGAAAATCGCGAAATCGCTAGCTTTTGTTACTAATAAAACTTCAAGATTCTCAGAAGACTCTGGGTAAAGATTGTGTCAAGGAATCCGTAATGTTAAAATTTCTTCTTGTGGAATTTGGACTCCTGGGCTTTGGAATCCGGAATCGAGCTCAGTGAATCTGAAGTCCCGCTAACGATTGTAATCCGGAATCCAATTTCCACCTACAAGGAGTCCGGAATCCTTTACTTGGAATCTTGAGTCAGTAGTGTAAAATCTTCGATTACTGACCTAACATGGAGCGATAAGATTTTGCAAACGGGAAAAGAGCACGCCGTAACTTTGTTCCACAGAGAAACATCCCTAGTAAAAACTCTGAACCAAAGTTATTTTTCAAAAAAAAATAATAAATGTCCACAAAGTATATCAGGACATCAGTGGGATTTTCCAAATTCCAAAGCCCATGCATCGAGTGCCCAATGCGCTAGACTACGAGTAGTCCCCCATTTTTCCTCAGGGATAGTAGAGCGAGCGAAACACACGCGCGCGTGAAAATCACCCCACGCGCGAAAAGGCGACACGCCCTGGGGAGAGAGAAAAATGAGGTTCTTTCTCCCCGCCGCGTGTCACCTTTTCTCGCGTGGGATGATTTTCACGCGCGCTCGCGTTTCGGTCGCTCTACTATCCCTGAGGAAAAATAGGGGACTACTCGTAGTCTACCAATGCGCTAATGCCTTTATTGAAATCGAAATTGTTGTCTATTATTTTTAAAAACTACAGTAAATTATTCATCGCGATTTCCAACAAGGAGAAATGCTGAGCATAATTAAGATGAACATCCACAGTAAAGCATTAGCGTGTATTGTTTGAAACCCCCGGGGGGGTACTCCCCATAATGGCCTATAGGGGGAAGCTCCGCCCGAAAGAAGTTCCTTTTTTCAGGCACTAGGTATATGAAAGGGTAGGGAAATCTGTACATTTGGGTCTGTTTAAGACCCAAAAGGGCTAACTGGAAAACAGTTCTGGTTTTGATTCAATTAAAAGACAGAGAATTTACAGCAGGTAAAAGGGATGTAAATTTCTTAACTAGGGGTAACATTTGTCAGTAGAAGCCGGAATGCGATAGGGGTATCTTCCTGAAAAATGGTATATAAAAGGGTAAAGGGTTGGACCTCGAGGAGGAAACTGCCCGTATAAAACTTTGTTGAGCATACTCCCGGGCTTGTAACCCGCTTGGTAAGAACAAGTTGCATTCAGGGAAATACTAGCCTTCTCGCATGACATTCCCACGTTACAAAAAAAATCATGTTGTAAGGGGGGGGGGTAAAATTGCCCCCCGCAGCACACTGTATAAAATTCAGAATTTAAATTTTTCTACATCATGAAGAGGGGACAAAATATGCGAGATTTTCAATGATATCTTCACAGGTAGGGGACTTGTCTTTGCAACATGTCCAGTCTTTTCAATTTACGACCTGCAGTTCAAAATTAATTAAGCCCGAGAGACTGGGCCAAATCGGGGGCATATATCATCAAAACGTCGCTCTTTCCCCGAAAATTTTGTTCCAGAAAAAATGTGCGAAGTTTTTATAAAGAAGACCATCAGCAACTTCCAGCATTAAATCGATAACCTGCAACTCTCTATCAGATGCACTGGAGTTCACACTGTACAGCTTGTATGCAATTCTAATAGAAAGTCCTATCAATTTACAAAGGTAGTCCAGGATAAAAATTAGTCACGTTATGTAGTAGCAGGATGCGATGAGGCGCCTTGGGGAAAGATTACCACTCGGAGGATAAGTAAAGTTGAGTTGAAAAATCAGACACGGTGAGTACCTTGGATACCAGTACCCCGGATTCCACCTTCTGTTGTCCGCTGACGTGCTTCCAATTCTGGGAAAGAATTATCGCATCGTAGATGACCACGAGAAAAACAATAAAATTTAGGTACCAGAAATAAGGTTTGATAACGAGGTAACGCATGACTCGCAGATTGGAGGCTGGACGCATGTCTTGAATGTGCCTGTTTGCAACTGGAACACAGAGAACAAATAGCCAGATGATACTTGTTAAGGCTGACCATGCCACCCACATGCCCTTCCAGTAGATACAACGACTTATCAGCCTTCCCGTATGATACGCTCGCGATGCTATTTAACAATTAATGAATGAGGCTGAGTATCTTATGAAGAATTATGGAGATCGAGGAGGGCGTTATCGGTCGAGGCCGTTAGGCCGAGGCGGATAACACCCCCCGAGATCTCCTTAATTCTTCAAATGATACGAAAGCCGAATTCAATAATTGTTTTATTATTCATTCAAAATAATTCCTAGTTTAAAAACATAGCTAAAACATGCTTACCTCCATCGATGTTAAGTTCATCTTCGATAGTGCACGTTGAGGATTGTTCAGCTCCGCAAATATTCTCCAAATAGCAGATGTCGCCCTTCGATTTGTCTTCTTGCTGTTCTTGCCATGTTTTTAGCTATTATTTCGCCTAGTTCTTAGTCTTGAAACCAGTGAAATGTCCGCCACTTTTGTTTTCACAACCAGAACAACTCAACCTCGTCCCCAGGACTTGCATTAACCTGCAAATAAGCTGCACTTTTGACGTCATCGGTTGATTAATCGCAAAATTCTTCCAGATTTGGTCATCAAGAGCTGGTTATGGTGAATTATGCGCGTGCCTTACAAATTGTAAGCAGTTTGTAAGTATCAAGCCCCCCTATGATAGTGCCTATTAAACAACATAGGCGTGTGTAACGTGCATTATCTATTCTGAATGCTTAGTGTAACTGTACCAGGAATCTCAGCCCTTTCTAACCTAAATTTAGACTGGTTTATTATTTGGAACACTCCTGAAATTGAGTCTAACTGTACATGCGGATAATGAAAGAGAAAAAATCTCCGTTTTTAACATATCCGAGTACGCGTGGACGAGGCTTTTTATGACGTTCTTGTTGCCGTCACCCTCCGCTTTGCTTCAACTTATACAAATACCAGAATTTAGAGAACATCATCGGCCTCTGACGACTCAATCGAGGTTAAGACGAATTTTCGCCCATAATTTGTTTACACACCAAACTTAAATATCTATGAATTATCCGTCTAGGATGGGACCGGTAAATTGCATCTCTCGCACTGATGGATAATTAGTCTCTGGTATATATTATAAATCGGTATAATGTGCGCTCTATCCACTAGCTTCTTTGGTACACCAATACATGTATATTTTGAATGGAATGTGGTCAAGTCCAGTTCCTTTGTTAATGAAGTACTTTCTTTTTATCTCATCAAACAGCTCTCGAAAAGACTCCTTGATGCTCTCACTGCTGTTGATTATAAAAGAAAAAGACGCAAAGAACTCGTAACAGTCTTCAAAAGAGCTCGGTAAATCTAGACGATAGCTCAAATTTTCGTTCAAATTGGTGAACAACTTCCTAGGCGATGTGTCGAACACATTTTTCCACATCTCATTGAAAGGTAAGACTACGGACTGCTGTTTATAAAGAGGGTCCAAGAACGCCCAAATTTCTGCTAGCCAAGGCAAGGAAAATTCAGGCAGGGCCCAAATCATACCAAACCTCCCATCTGTTGAAAGTACCCGATGAATCTCTCTAAGAGAGGATGGGTTAGCGAACCAGTGAAAACTCTGTGCTGCAATAACCACATCTACGCTTTCATCTGGCAAACCTTTGAAATGAAAAAGAGTTCGAGTCAAAGAAGAAAAGTGAATACCAACTCCCCCCATAATTCTTTCATCTCAGTTTTTCTGTCTTCTTCGAAAGTATGTTTTTGTGTTTACTTTGCTTTTCAACATTCTTTTCTTTGTCTGTTTGTTTGTTAGTTTGGTTTTTAACTGAACTTTGCAATCGCGTAATCGTTATATCAGTCATATCAGTCCGCTGTGTGCATGGGCGTATCGGCTCACCATTGTAAACTCCCATACAGATCGGGTCTAATATTTTATTGTATCATATGAATACTAATTAGATGAAAAGGCATTTGTATCAAAAGTTAAATCGACTGTTTAACTTTTGCATCAACCAAGTTAACGGGGTAGGAGGTGTGAACTATTTTCTGGTCAAATTTTTGATCAGTAATTAATGAATTGGACAATAAATGATGATAAATTGGAAGTAAGCAACTTGAAGAAAGGTGAATATTTTGATTTCTGATTTTCTGTGGCTGAAAAGATTAAAATATTTAGGCAGCTGACTTACTTATCTTCTCTGCAACACAATTGATAATATCAATATCAGGCTCTAGGCGTTTGAACTTTTCGCACATTTGGTCAACAGGATCACTTGCAATAACTCGAACATTCTGGTCCTTTAGCACTTCTAACATCGCCCGAGTGAACTTTCCTGTACCCGCGCCAAGTTCCAAGACCTTTGATTCTGGAGTGTTGTCGTCAAGTAATCGGAGATTCTCTACGAAGAATTTCACTGCTTCAAGAGGGTAGTCCTGTCGGACCTTCTCATAGTTTGACGCTGGTGCAAACCCTTTCTCGACAAACTTGAGGAGCTTACGACTGCTTTCAGTAGGTTCATTTTCGTCTTTGCTGGACATTCTTAAATGATAACTGAACCTGTAGTTAAAGATAATGTACGATTGAGTTAAAGATCAGATATTGACTAGAGTTCTAAAGCATCTTAACAAGAGGTCTGAGTGATCATTTCAGTAGTGACAGTATAGAGGCTGGGTCAAAGTGGGTGGACCACTGCACGAAAACCGAAGTGTAGATTATCCGACAGTCTTAACACTCGCTCAAAGGACACTATTCGAATCATGAAACCAAATTCTAACTGAAGATTACTTAAAGGGACTGTGTCACGATACTGCGCATGTGTGAGCTTTGACAGTAACTGATTGTTTTTTAACCAATCGGAAGGGAGTAAGATGCAGGCAAGGAAATTTACATAATTCAAGATTCATTGTTCGCGAAGCGGGAGTCGTTTTTGTTCCATTTTATATATCCCCATAATTCATACTTATTCTCTGGTATTCCTCAGATACATGTTGCAGCCGATAAGAATAAGATTTGCAACCCTGTCCTGCTTTGAAACAAACATTTACCTACGAGTATTTTCACGTACCCACACTAGTAAACCAGTCTCGGATCGGTAACCAAAAATAATTTGTAAAAAAACCTTACTGATCTCTCTGTTTACCCTATATAAACTTAGAAATACCTGCAAATAGCGCCTGGCCGGTGACCAAAACACACAGTATCGGATGAGGCAAACGTTTTGCTTAAAATGCCAGCTAAATGCACACTATTTAACAATTATTCCTCGAGCCCGAATGGGCTCTGAGTCAATAGCCCATGAGGCCATTATTCTCTGGTATTCTCTGGTATTCCTAGCCCATGAGGCCGAAGGCCGAATGGGCTATTGACTCAGAGGCCATGAGGGCGAGAGAAATAATTGTTTTAGTAAAATTCGACTAGTTGGTCAAAAATATCGAGAATAAAAATTTTTTAGCTGGTTTAAAGCTAGACCTTAATCCTTTTTTGCCGCCAGAGAGCCCGCGCTTTTCGCTACTAGGGGGCTATAACATATAGCCTAGTGGTAGCTCAACCAATCAGAACGCCGCATTGATAATAGACCACTAGTTGGATTTTTGCGTTCGAGGTACGAGATTTGAGTTGGGTGTTTTGTGCATTATTAGGTGTCCTGTGCAATTAATAAGAGAGGTTTTTTCGAGATTTCATTCGTCGTCGTCGACACACATTTTCCTCGCTTTGAGGCGTTTGCTTGCGTTTTGCCTCACTTTGACGCGCTAACTCACGTGGTGATGTGTTTGTCCTCGGCGTTCATCTTTCAAACGTTTGCTGAGGTCTGCTATTCTGTCTTCGTAAATCGTTCATCTTTTAAAAGTGTGCTGAATCTTCGTAAGGCGTACATATTTAAGAGTTTGCTGAAGGTCTACTATCGATCTGTGTTTAATGAATCTTCCAAAGCGTTCATCTTTCAAAAGTGTGCTGATTAAGCCTTCATATTTTTCTTTGGAAAATGCGTGCCACTCCTGGTGTATCATCAAACCGGGTTGTTTAGCTCGGCGTCCTTTGTACCACAAAGTAAATTTACCGGCGAGTTGTGAAGCTCAGCGTCTGTTGTGCCACAAAGTAAATCTACTGAGTTGTGTAGCTAGGCGGCCGTAGTGCCACAGGGTAAATCTACCGAGTTGTGTGGCTCGGCGGCCGTTATTCCACAAAGTATCTACCGAGATGTGAAGCTCGGCGGCACCATTTCATCGTGACTTGTGATATTTTCGGCACTGGACAAACGAACATTTTAGCTCTATGTTATTTATTCGGAAAAACGTGACCACAGTCGCGCCACTCAAGCCCCTGAAATCAATACACTCAGCGACCAAATTACTGAAAAAGTTATTGACGTGAGCTGCACACACATTCCACTGAAGGTTTTGATAACTCCCTTGAAACGTGTGAAATTGAGAGGTGTAGTGTAAGTGAACCAGCGTTCAAACACAATCTTTGTGCCCCGGCGTTCAACACAAAAAATGTGATTTTGGGTCGTTCTTTAATATCATCACAAGTTAAGAAGACTTGTCAGTAACGGTTTCCGGCATTTTATAGACGTGAAATTCCCAATATTAAATAAATCTAATAATTACATCTAAAACTTTGTCAACTGTTTGCTTTTTAACAGTACCTGGGCCAGGTTGTTCAAAGCTGGGTTAAGATAACACAGGCGAGGAGGGTTAGTGCGAAATTTGAACTCATATGTAAAAGCGTCATTTTGCCAACAAGTTGATGATTGGACGCTCTTAAAAATAACCGAGAAAATTATCCAAAGAAATGTTTTTTAACAAAAGAAAAAGAAACCCGGGTTAAGCGCTGATCGGCCTTCGAACAACAGCTACTGCGCCCTGCAGAACATCTATTGCGCCAGTAAATCAAAAAGTTCTTTTTACACGCCCGAAGCACTCTGGCCAGTGTCTCCTCAAATAACAAGCACTTGAGACGAACCATACGATATCATGCTGATCACTAGCCTTCAAAACGTTTTCATTATGATACACAGTTTAAATCGAGGTTTCGCTGTACGCAACCCTTACGTTCAAAATATGCCATAATCATAGTTATCTATCGCAAGAACCATCCACCCTTTCCCCTCAACTAATACCTGTACGCCTAGCAAACATATCGAACGCACTCTCCTAAGCTCCGATTACTCCTAGTACTAAAATAAAATAGGCCACGCCATGCGGCCGGCTACCACGATGAGCACTGCACATCATGAACATTGTAGCTCATCGTAGCAGTGTTTGAAAGCAATTTTTAATAGCGCTTCATCACAAAACGCTTTCATTGTAATAGTAGCCACATAACGTATAAGTATAAAGATTATTTTAAAAGAACAGCGCAAAATTAAGCATAAACAGGAGCCCATCACTATGGCATAAATTTCAATTGCTTCTTTCCGAGTCGTTGTGTCGGGTGTTCCGCAAAACAAACGTTATCGATTCAACACATAAAGAAACCAGAAATTAAACGGAACATACAGGCAACAATTTATTTTTAAAAGATCAATTCTTAAACATTTACGCTCATACAGCAAAGATACAAGGAACATTCCGTGTGAACCACATCGCTAAAGATCGCGCGGGGCTGTTGTCAGTACTATCTGATAAAATACAACTACTGATCGGAGTCATAAATCGAATGCCTGTTAAAACGTTTCATGTTCGATGGATTCTTTCCTCAAACCTCACACGACCACCTGTACAACAAAAGATTGCTGGGTTTTCTCCTTCTGATTCCAATCACTCGAGAAAGTAAATCGCTGCAGACAGTCGGAAGTCATGTCGTAGATCCAGGTAGATCGGCTTCATGCACTCGCGGCTGCGTCCTATTAGTTCCAGGGGCGGATCCAGGATTTTTTTAGGGGGTGTGCACTCGTCTCTTGCTCTTCTTCAACACCAATAAACCATATAGTTTTTTTTTTTTTTTTTTTTTGCAGAATACCAGTTGTATTAGAAAACCGCAGGTCATCTCAGGGGGGGGTGCGCACCCCCTGCACCCTCCCCCTAGATCCTCCCCTGAGTTCGATATTAGTAGTCCACGGCTGTATTAAGAAAACCCTTTTCAACTTTCTTTACATATTTAACGTTTAAGAACTACCCAGAAAAGGTAGATCGTTGACTGGAGAACTTAATAGACTTAATGAAAGCCAGACGACGACATTAGACGCCACATTTGATCAGTTTCTAGGAACACTAACAACAACGAACATGGCTTCGTGCACTTTTCCTCTTGATATCATTGTAATAACGGATACTTCTTTGTTAAAAGAAAAGGCCTCCAAGTCAATTTTTTCCCAGTTGTTAAACCTATTTACACTGTCCGGAACGCGCTAATAGTGATGTCCTAACACCATCAATTACGGGCCATACATGCACAACGAGTGAGTGAGAACTGCTGGCACTACCAGTGAGGAAGGGGGGACTAGGAAACCCAGTTGAGCGAGCCAGGTCCCCCCCCTCTTATTTTTAGACCAAACTGAGGCACAAAGGGCAGAAAAAATTTTTTTGGAGACCAGCCCCCCCCTTATTTAAGGTTCTGGATGACCCCCCCCCCCCTGGATCTGTGACTAGGATTTGTGTACTGATCATGCGCACAACTTGCCTAGTCCCTGTGCAGCGTCTTCCCAGGCCTTCTCGGTCAATGCATTTCAGTGACATATCCAAGATGAACGGACTCAAAGACTCACTCAGAACAAGTGACCTGAAACACATTGGCTGTGCACAATAATGAGGCCTAGGGACATGGCAAGTGCATTACATGACAAAAACCAAAGAACAAGAAGGAACAAAATCCTGGGGGGTACTTCCTCATAAGAGGCTAATGGGGATGTGCCGCTGGATGGGGTCGCTTTTAAAGACTGGAGTGACTATAATGGGGATGCATTTTCAAAAAAGTTACTAGAATGGGGTCGCACATTTTCGGATTTTTGGGTAAGACAGTTCTTTATATTTATGATTACTAAACATACCAGAATTATTGTACAGTAGGTGAAAAGTTATAAGGTAGATACATAAATAAAAAGTGACTAAGTTGGCATCGCAAAAATTACATATTTGCACAAAATTATTGGCTACAGAATAGACTATAATGGGGTAGGGGCTCTGAGAGGCCAGTGGCACATACCTAGCAAAAATTGACCCAAGTACCTCCCCCCCATCCCAGGAGCAAAAACATGACAATTGAGGGCGAGACTGTCTCTTACTCTTATATTTTGGTAATTAGCAAATTGATTTTATTTCACTTTTCAGACAAAGTGTGTGGTTTGCTTTTTCTTTTAAATAATTGTTGTCCTTTGAAGTGTTTGGAATATGCACCATAAAGCTTCGTATTACTATAGCTGATAAGAACAACCAAAGAGTTAGGCTATTGAGTAGTGTATTGCTGGAAACCTAAGAAAAGTTGAGGTCACTTGGCACCACAGCCAGGAGGGACGAATGACAATGATGCCCATGTCTGTGAACCCATCTGTATAAACATGTATTGCAGAGCAAAACATAATATTCAAGAAAAAAATACC